CTAACATAAGAACCCAGACCTAAAACTTGCTGGAGGGAGTGGCACAAGTGACTGCAAACAAAGAGCCATGTACCAACTGCAGTAAGTAAAGCAAATTGTAGACCTGTGGGTGACAGAGCTTAGAAACTTGCTCCAAGGAGAAGAATCTGATAACCACAGGTACAATGACCAAGAGCAAAAGAAGAGACAGAAGCGCAGTGAATATTACTAAAGACTCCCCTGCAAGGAGCAACAGTCTTTGCCAACCTCAGATATACTGAAGAATACATGGAGAAAATGGGGGACACAGAATCTAAAACATTTGTTATAAAACCTCTTATCAACAATGAGAAGCATGTAATGCAGCAGTTTGAGGAATCTAAGGAATATGTCACACTGGAAATGAATCAAATGAAAGCTGATATATCAGACATGAAGAATACAGTGGAGCAAATTAACAGTACAATGGAGAGTCTCCAAAATAGAATGAAAGAGGCAGAAGAAAGAATCTCAAAATTAGAAGATATATTCTGTCACCAGGGGGAAACAAACAAACAAGCTGGAAGCAGAGCTGAGTCAAGCTAAAAGGAAGTATTCAAGTACTGAAAGACCCATGAAAAGGCCAAATATAAGAGTTATCAGAGTCCCAGGAGATACAGAAAGAGAATCTGGAGTTAAAAATGTATTTAATGAAATAATAAGGGAAAATTTCCCTAACATCCAGGGTAGACAAGGAATTTCCAGCAGGCTTGACCAAAAGTCATCTTCACCACGATACATGATCATCAAGCTCTCTTCAGTTGAACATAAGGAAAAGATCCTTAAATGTGCACATGAAAAAAAAAATCAATTGACATATAAAGAAATGCCAATTTAATTCACATAGCTGCCCTCTCACAGGAAACTCTATGAGCCAGAAGAGAATGGAGTGATATATTCCAGAATCTAAAAGCAAAAAATTATCGGCCTAGGATAATATATCTAGCAAAGCTTTCCTTTGTTTTTGAAAATGAAATGAAATTCTTCCACAGTAAAGAAAAGTTAAAAGAATATGCCTCTCCCAAATCTGCCCTACAAATGATACTTAAAGATGTTCTCTTGGCAGAGAATAGTAATAGCATCCACCAAAACCAAAGGCAAATGGGAAGAACATCCAGTAAAATCACAACAGAAGACTAAACCAATGAACAACCCATTGCTAAAATGACAGGAACAAATTACCACCTATTCATGTTAACTCTGAACGTAAATGGCTTAATCTCATCAGTCAAATGGCATAGATTAGTAGACTGGATTAAAAAATCTATTAGTTGCCTACAGGAGACATATTTCACCAACAAAGATGAGTGGAAACTGTATCTCATGGATTTTGATGTCTTTAGTTTCATCTCTTCAAAACACTCTTTCTCATTAAATTCTCATTAAATTCCTCAAAGATCATTATTCTCTTCAAGAAGGTTTTTGATTTTCTTTTTCATTTGTTTAGTGACATATTAGTCATTCGGCAGCATGTTATTAACTTTATGGCACTGTAAGTTCCTTTTTTTCTTCTTGCTGTTGATTTAGTATTGTGGCTTTTCATTTAAGGGGATGTATAGTAACTGTGTAATGGAGACTATCATATCCAGATGTGAAGATACAATGCAGTATGCATCTCTACTTTCAGGCAAAAATGGACTCCCAATGAAACTGTTTACTGTATCTTGACAATAAGATGCTGTATTCTCTGCCATTGTCCATGCCCGCAATGATGGACATATGATTGTGTGTACAGTCTATACTACAGTAATAATATAGGGGAACTCAGTGACGGGTGAGGGGCTTGGGAAGGGGGTCAGGAAAATCCCAGGGCCTATGGAACTTTCTCATATAATGATAACAACAATAAGAAAAGAAATCAAATAAAAAAGCTAAAAAAATATATGGCACAGATATGTGTAAGCAGAGTGGCTGGGCTGTCTGAACAAGAGTAGAGGCATTTTTTTTTTGTTTCCGAATTAAGAAGGTGAAGAACAAGAATTTTAAGAATAAAATCTGCTTTCTTTCTCATGTCACAATTCTAATTTAACTCAGCTTTATGATAAGTTTTCTCATTGATGAACTTTATTCTTAATAAATGCACCTTTTCTAAACCACTAATGTGATTTTTTCTAATTAAAAAAATAAATAATACTAATACTACTAGCAAAGTAGCATTCCTCTGAGTGCACTTTCAATTTGAACCCAAGACTTCCATGTCACTGTAGAAACGAGTGAATTCACATTGACCAAGGGCAACGTAGATGCTGCAGGGGAAGATATTAAGCTATTATTTCTCCATAAATGAAAGTTTTGGAAAACAAAATAGAAGATCTGTACATGCTTGGCTCTGTTCTCAGGATGCAAACATAGCTTCTTGGATCTAGGTTGACCTTGGTCGAGTTATCCTACCACTGTTCAAAGCTTGTCAAAGCTTCATCTCACCTTTTCATTCTTATAAAACGTGATGTGCTACCAGAATAACTTGACTTCAATTTGGAGTTGAGAAAACTGAACTAACCGCTCCTATGCAATACTGCTATCCCTCAGATGAAAGCTCAACACAAGTTCCGCTGTGATCTTTGTTGTCAAAGCAATGCTAACTTACAGATTCATCAACCATGGTTCCAAGTAAAGCACTTGCAAACGCTTTTGGCAGCTCCTCTTCTTGCTCATTTAATGTTTGGCATTCTCAAAGTTAAAATTCTTATATAAACGAGTTGACAAAATTGTTAGATTCTTTGATTTGCAGAGCAAAGTACTATGCTGTCATTAAACAGTAGTAAGGGTAAAAAACCTACAGTGTATACTGTTTCCATAATATTAGCAAGTGCCACTTGCCTTTTCAGGTTAATATTTACAAACAGAAAATACTTTCCCAAAAAAATGAGAATCCTCAATTTTCATAAACATATTAGTTTATTATATATTAACTACAAATGTTTACTTGTTCCCTACATATTTTATTTTTACCATAATACATGCTTACAGAATTAACATACATATACATCTATTTCAGCACTCTATTTTAATAGTAAATATAATTTCTTAATATATTTTTAAAAAGGTATGTCCCTACTTAGTATTCTAGCTATTTGGAATCTAACTTCTCCCGTTTTTCCTAGTGAGTCTATCACAGAGGAACACTGCACAGATGCTCTATCTGTTTCAGAGGTGGCCTAAAGAGGCTGATGATTTTGTCCCCAACTGAGGAGCTGGCAGGTGCACAAAGCAAGCCTGATTACACTCAGAAGCATCTGATTCTGCACATTACAAAGTCTGTCATGTGATGCGTGCCTACCTCCCATTCTATTTTGGCTAACGCCTTCACGTGCTGCTTCAGTCTTTCGGTTTTGTTTCTTGAACTTTTTGCATTCTTATCCTTGCTCACATAGTGCCTGTGCTTCAGAAGGATTTTGTTTCTTCATCTGAGGTGTGACTTTAATTTTAACTTGTTTAAAAGACAGAGACAAAGAGACATAGGGGGACAGAGAAAGCTCTTCCATCTGCTGGTTCACTCCCCAGATCTACACCACAAGGACTGGACCAGGTTGATGCCTAGAACCTCATTCTGGTTCCTCTATGTATGCCAAATAGAACCAGTCAATTGTGTCATTTGGAAGGATGCATTAAGACATTTGATAAGTTAGATATGCAAATGATTGTGGTTAGTTATTTTTATGTTTTTCTCTAAAATTATTTGTATGTTGATGCCTCATAATGAGAAATCAGTGTTAGAAGGTGGCAGTTACATTAATCACAAAGCTATTAAATCCTTAGTTGAAGTAAACATCCTGTGTAATAAAATGAGTAGAAACACTCCATGTAGAGATTCTAGTATTAGAGTACGGCACAGCTTCTTACTTAAGTTGCTTCAGTTAGTTTGCCTTTTTCTTTTCTTCCTAATTTCTCTCTTTTTCCTGTGCAGATTAGATTTTTACATTGGTGAGATGCCAAGTCCATATACTTTGTATTCAGATAACAATATGTGATTAAGTGCTGGATAAATATTACTACACCTACTGTATAGTAATGGAGTGTGATATTTACTAGAAGTGGTAGAACTTGAAAGAACTCTGAGTGCTTCAGAGACGCCCCACTTCCCTTAAGGTGTGCTTCTGGACTATTTTTAAAAATTCTATGCCAATTATCAGGAAGAAGATTTGTAGCAAGTCGCTTTCTAAGTACAGGTGAGTGCCTTAAAAGAGTAAGCTCACAACAACAATTAAAATTGATAAGTGCTTTGCCCACAGCCCCTGTAAGGTGTTGAAGGCGTGGACTGGGTGAAAGAACTGCTGCATACTAAATGCAACAGTGCTTCACAAACGATGGTTAAGAACAAATCTGCATTCCAGCTTTGGACAATTTTCACATATATTAAAAACACAAAGGGAAAAATATTTCTGGGATAAAAATTCCTTATTTGAGTGACCTAGTTTAGAGATCAATTGCTAATTCTTACAATTCCATCTTTCTGAATTAATTTCTACCATTTCTAAAGTATTGTGATTAAAATATTATTTTTGAGGGCACATCTATTTCATAAGAGGAAGATGCTCAGAAGTTCATTTCTCAGTGTGAAATAGAACATCATAAAATCTAAATAAGTCCACCCAAGATGGTCTTTCTATCTTAAAGGGATTAACCCAGAGTGGTTAGAAACAGAGCTGTTTAACTCGATTTTCTAACGGATTTCAAACTATACCGAGAGCTGTCTGTCACATCTGGAAAGTGAGCTCCTAGTCACTAGAGCTGCACACACACCGTACAAATGAATCAAATCAGAAGTGCATATCCAGTTTCGTTTCTGAGTTAGAATATCCTTAACACAAGTTGTTTTCCTGTCAACACTGTAAAACATCGGAAACCAGGCATAGGTAGCTAAAGCTCCTGGCAGAAGGTACACGTGCCGCAAAGGAAAATAAACGCAGACAGTTCCCACCACCCCCAAGCATCGCCGGGCAATTTGCTTTTCCTGACAACTAAGAAGCAGCACGGCTTACCTGACACACAGAGGTAGTACCTGTCCTGGCCCGAGAACTCGATCTCGATGAACTCGTACAGATTCTGTGAGAGCGGCTTAAACAGCTTCTTTTCCAAGTCCTCCTTCACCAGCGATGACATTGCTTCGGGCTGCACTTGGCTTGATGTCTGGGCCAAAACTCACTCTCTCCTCTTCCCCTTAGATTTCTGGCTTGTGTGGGCAGCTCCTTAGCTGAGTCCTGCCCACCTCCCAGCCTTCACCTTCTTCTCCTTCCCAGCCAGGACCCAAGCTCCTGAGAGTGAGGTTGGGCACCCTCTCCGTCTCTCTGCCGTGCCAGTCTCCGTGGCAAGTAGGGGCAGCGGCTGCAGCCAGACTGCACCAGCCCTCGCAGGCGGCTGCTCTGGGCAGCTCTCCTGTGGGCAATTTTCCCGCTGGGGGAACACCTGCTGAGAGCCACAGACCTACTTGTGGAGTCCCCTGATAATTGCAGCCTGGTAGCCTTGTCCCCGATCGCAGCTCTCTGTAGAGAGTCCACTGTTTCAGCTTAATGCCATTATATAAATCAGTTGTCTGGCTCTATTGATTGAAGTCAGCTTCCATTAAGAACTTTCCTATACCCGGAAGGCGAGAAGGCATCTGTGCTCACTTGCTGACACTTCCAACAAGTCTCATCCCCACCTTGCTTTCCCCTGCAGCGCCTCGGTCTAAATGGTTTCTAAAATGCACATGTTACACACACTCACTCCAGCATTATTTATTCCATCACTCACAAACCAAAATGTATTAGGTCCCCACAAGCATTAACACAACATTCCTGTTTCGTAGGAGGGTACATTTCCTATCCTTTTGGGAACTTATGCTTAAAAGAGGTGAAGTCCACCAAATAAGGACTACTATTCAGGTGGCCAGATGACATATGGCTCAAGAGAGATGGGAACATAGAAAAGTGCTTTTCTTTTGTTTGTTTCCCCCCTAAAAGGTACTGAGAAGTTTCTATGGTAGAAGACCTGGAGCTTGAAGGTTGATGGAAAAGGGCCAAGGTGAGGGAGGGGAAGCCCAGGCCATGGATGAATACTGTGAATCACAGCTTTGCATCCATCTGGCATAGGGACGTGCTCTGGTTTGCTCTGTCCACCCTTCCCCTGGTCCCCCAAACCTTTGGGCACTGACAATGTGACACTAGCTGGAAGTGGGACCTTGAAGAGGTCATTAGGCCATGCAAGCTCTCCCTTGGGTGGAGGAAGAAAGCCTTCAGAAAAGAGGTGTCACACAGCATCCTGCTGGTTAGCCCTTCTGCCTCTGCCACGTGAGGACACAACAGCCTTATGCGTTCCAGACAACATAACTCCCACCTGATGAAGAATCTGCTGCTGCCTCCATCTCAAACTTCTAAGCCTCAATCACTGTGAAGACTGGGTTTCTGCTTCTTAGAAATTACCCAGTGTTGTGTTATGGCAGCACAAATGTACAGGACAGTACTTTTGGTTTCTGGAGTTGTGGGGTCGGAAAACTGAAGAGCTAGACTGTAGTCAGATTATAAAGGTGTTTCAATGTTGGGTTAATCCTAATGACATGGAGAGCCCATGAAAATGGTAACATGAATGTGTTATTCATGTATTCAACCAATATTCATAGAGGAAGGTTTGGGTATCAGGCTCTGTTCTAAGAACTAGGAATATGGCAATGAAAGAAGACCAGGAACTGGTTCTGTGAAGGATCAAGAAGAAAGACAGTGATGGGCCCTTCAGGTTGTGCTCAACCACAAGTCACAGACTACGCTATGCAAGGGTGTGAAGAGTCACACGTACTGAGGTGTGCAGGTGGGACGCCCAGTGCCGGTGCAGGAATCCTCGGTGAGTGTCCCCAGTGCTTTCCATTCTGTTCATCTACCATTTTCCCAGGTTGGCTTTTCTGGCTCCAGGCTTCCGTGGCCTGGACTCTACAAAGACTCACCCTAATGTCTTTGCCTACTTTAATATTTTCCTCCTCTGTCTTTGCTCCTGGGAGTCATTGGAATCGGGCTAAGAGGACCAGAGACCTGGTACCATGCTTCTGGGTATGGAAATGAAGAAGGGGGAATGAGTCTAAGATATACCCGGATACGGAAATCAGTAAGCCATGGTGCTTAAGTGAATGTGAAAGGGGCAAGGGGGAATCAATTAGACCAACTACTCTCCACTTCCAACTAGGGCTGAGCAAATGGCTCTCGTGGCAAGAGGTAGGTTTTCAGAGGAAATATTATTTCTAGTTTTTGAAGTTCAATTATTTCCTGGATGAGTTACTCTTCTCATGAAGAAAAAGCGAAAAAGACTGGCATGATAGTGAGAAAAATACTTAAAAATGGCATCACTGAGGTTATCATTGGCTATTGACTTCCATGTTTCCCGTGTCACATTTTATCCCTTGCTAGACTGTAAGTCTCCTGCGGCATGGTTCCTGCCTGCCCTGCCGTATACCCACGCTTTGTGGTCTATAGCACTTGGTGCAAATGGCACTCTTGCATTCAGTTATGAACCCCTTCGATGACTTTGCATCTACCAAAGAACCAACAAGTGAATCATGAACCCTTGTAATGATTTCTTGACAAATTCTTGAAGTAGTCTAGTATGATCTTTAAATAAGGAAACTGGAAGTTCAGGAACTGACATTGTGACTTCAATCCAAGAGATTGAAGATGGTTTCTGTGAACTAAATGCGTCTAGAAACCGTGGGCCATTTGGTTAAATGTTCTTGTGGCATCAGTTTGATTGACAATCAGAAAAAAGTCAAAAGGTCATGTTAAGGCATTAATCAAGGCAAAGGATTCAACATTAGAAGGAGTACACATGACAATGCATTATAAATGGAAGAAGACATTTTGAGATGGGTGGTTGGTGTAGTTATTAAGATGCCATTGGGACATTCCCATGTTGTTCAGAGTACCCAGGTTAGAGTCCTGGCACATCCCTGACTCCAGCGGCTGGTTGGCACATGCCCTGGGAAGCATGTCCTGGGCTCAAGTGGGTGAGTCCCTGCCACTCACACGAGAGCTCTGGATTGAGTTCCAGCTCCAAGTTCTAGTCCTGTTGTGGACATTTATGGAGCTAATCACAGGATGGGAGCTCTCTGCGTCTTTCTGCCCAATAGATAGTAATAGAGAAAAAAACAGGAGTGAGTGCTTGGCTCAGCTGGGATGCCTGCCTTTCACATTGGAGTGCTTGACTTGAGTCCCAGCTCTGCTTCCGGTTCTAGCTCTCTGCTAGCATGTGTCCTGGGAGGCAGCAGGCGAGGGCTTCAGTGTCAGGTTCTCTGCCACTCATGTGCGAAGCCTAGATTGGGTCTTAGACTCCTGGACTTGGCTTGGCACAGCCTCAGGCTCTGTGGGCATTTAGGAAGTAAATCAAGGAATAGAAGATCTCCCCCGCTCTCATCCTTTCAAACAAATAGCAGAAAAATATCAAATAGCCCCCCAGCATGAATTTATTAAGACATTTAATTGAGCTACTAAGAGTATTTTTACAGTCAAAGGTGAATTTATAAGTTTATCTTCCAAAATGGTGTAGGATTGTCTGTGGGGAAAAGGGAGAAACCACAGAAAAATAGCAGTTTTCTAGAAAGACTCATTTTCCAATCTCCAACCTCCACCAAATATACTTCCTAAGGGAAAAGAATCTGCAGTGTGTATTATTGTGCCTGCAAGTCCCAGCCAGTCTGCTGGCCTGGGATAGCCGACAGTGTGTGTTACTGTTGCTATAGTTCCACTGAGGGGAAGGAGGCAAGCTGCTCCAAAGACAGGCTTCGAGACCAGGAGCGTCCAGACATGAACCTCTGTGTTAACTGAGCAATGGAAGTCTGGGACCAAGAAGACCCACAGTTCTGCAGAGTTTACTTCTATTTTCTTCCAGAGACGAAGGAAGGATATTTCTCTTACTTTCCAGTTTTGGACTCCTGCTTGAATCACGTCCCAACACAGTCTTCAATGTTTTTAATGCTTTTTTTTTTATCCCTAGAACTATTGATTTGCTTGGTAAATCTGGGAACAGGGCAGGCATTTAGCCTGCAAGTGATAATGTGTGACTCCTGGCTCCACTCCCGAGTCCAGCTCCCTGCTCATGCATAGCCTGGGAGGCGGCAGAGACATCTCCAGGGATGGTGAGCCTGGGTGCTGCCGAGGGCCCCACGTGGAGTTCCTAGCTTGCAGCGCCAGCCCACCCTCTTCCCAGCCAGTGAGTGGGACTCTTCCTTTGTCTTGATATTCCTCTCAAATTAATAAACATACTTTAAAAAACCACCTGGAAGGCATTATCCTACTTGTATACAAATGTACTTCCTGAAGTCATGGAAAATGCAATTGAAAGATTATTTTAAGGCAACCTAAAAAAAATCTGCATTTTTTTTTTCAGAATATGCAATTCCTGGGCATTTTCTGAAGAGTCCCTCATGTAAATAGCAGATGACAGCATGCCGACCTCTTTCACACATTCACAAGTTACGGGGCTGAGTGCTTTAGCCAGCGCTCCAGGTGAAGGCACGTAGTTAAGCCCCTGGGTGTGCAAAGGTGGCTTGGTCTAGAGTTCACTGAAGAAAAGCTCTTCACAGGGCTGCTCTGTGTGTGTGTGTGTGTGTGTGTGTGTGTGTGTGCAGGGGAGGTAGTGGTAGATGCTGTGCGTATGCACGTTGGGCCTGCACTGTGTCTCCTTTCAGACTCATATCCCAAAGTTTTTCAGCAGAAGCAAAGGCTGTGTTATATGTACACTGAGTCCTTGAGGGGGTGGGGAGAGAGGGAGGAAGTGATGATGCTAGGCTCTGTGCTGGGCTTGGAGGTTTACTCTGCTTTCAGAAATAGTCCTGCAAAGCTGAAAGTGGATTTTACTGCCCTAATTTCACCCACCCTCCTTAAGGCTTGACAAGGAGGGTTATGCATTTTTTCTTATGCTTTAGCTGACAATGACTATTACTGCAACTAAAGCTTCGTTAGCAGAGTCCTGAACTTGACCGTTTCTGAATCTGATTATGCATGATGTGGAAAACCCAGTTTTATGTTGTGTATCTTAAACTTATGTGCAGGAATCAAGACAGTGTTGTTACTTAAATATCTAATCTATTACATGTGAAACGTCCTCTTTTTGTAGCATATTGTAAATTTTACTTAATCCAGCAC